TCCTAGATATCCCAGTCAAGATTGGGGCCCATTATGTACATACTATATAAAGAAAAAACATAATAGGTAGACCTTTTTTCTAATATTTGTATGTAAATAGACAAGACCAGCAAAAAATGGGAATGGAAATGGAAGCACTGGGAGGTGAAATGACTTGCCTGTAATCACTCAGAAACAGATCTGGGAATAGGATCCAGGTCTTGTGACTCCCAGTTTACTGCTTAGTTCATGGAACCATGCTGCCTTTGAAAATATATAAAGTAATTTCTATATGGTATGAATATTGCTGTTAATACAGACTATTACTACAGGGTGTTAATTGTCAGTAAGTAATAGCTAATGACATGGTAATACCATTATTATACCTGTTTCCATTTTTTGGGGACATTTGGAATTAGAATAACTGTTCCTAATTGTAATTTTTAATTTTAGTTTATTAACCTTTTCATTTATCTATTAGATAAAAAAAATGTTGATTATCTTTGAGATATAAACTAGTTGTTTTTAAAAAGTGCGTACGTGGTAAAAAGTCATATTTTTAATCACATTTCTGCCACTTTTATAGTTATTGGGTGAAATATATAACCTTGCAAAGATCTGGCTTTGACTGATAAAGGAGCTGCTGTTATCAAAGAAAGAGAGAATTTAGACTAAGCATTCCCCCCCTCTGAAGATGGCATGTGTATCAAAATGGAATATTTATAATACAGAATTATTATGTATAAATCATTGAATGCTTCAATTTATTAAGTCCCTTTTCCATATTTGGAAATGTTTTTCTTCATTGTGTTCCTAAATTACAATGCGCATTGCAGCCTCAAAACAGACAGATTGGTCTGGAAAGCTTCGCTGTCCTCTGCACTAAAATAGAAATGTCTTTTGCTTAGACAGATGAGGGAAGGGAAAAAGAATGTCTATCAGTTTACTTCTAATTTTTCTTGGATTTGTAGTGTCTGGGCATGGTCTCCAATATTCTAATTATGAACATGTAATAGGATGCAAATTTTGTTAAAACTCTAAATATTTTGGTTGTTCCTTTTTGCCTGTCATAACATTTTCATGTTTCTAACTTTCATACTTTGTTTCAAATGCAAATACTCTGGAAGGATATAAAAACACAGGAGTTTACTTTGAACATGGTGTGGAGCTGCCTCACCCTATTGGTACCTATGGGAGACGTGTTCTTGTTTAAATAGGGCTTTCATCCATTGAACTTCAAGGTTTCCACCTAGATTCTACCTCCCAACTTATCCCAGCCCTATACCTATTAATTTTTCCGTCTCCTTCCTTTCATTTCTAACAGAATATTTTCTTTCCTTTGCTCTTTTGTTCCAATGTGAAACAGCCCAGTCATTAGAAGCTCAGTGATCTTCTAGGCTAGGGACAGACATTACACATAAACTGGTTTAAGTGATTAGAAACTGTTTTAAACCTGTAACAGAACAGAAGTTCAGTGAACATAAACCAGTTTGAAAATGACTGAAACCGGTTTGAGATAAAATTGGTTGAATGCAGTAACAGACTTAATGGATTTGGCTCAAACTGGTTTATGCAGTGTCTGTCCGAGACCCGTTGCTGTTTTAAGATAAACCAGACACCCCGAGCATCCCAGCAGGCTCTCTGGGCTGGGCTCTCTGCTCTACAGCAGACCTGATCCCTCCCCTCTGCTTCCTGGCTGGAGCTTTGGCAGAGACTTGCAGGCACAGCAGAGTCTGCCTGGCTTCCCCCTGCTCTACCCACCCCCCTCGCTGCTCGCTGCTCACTGCTCAAGCAGGAAATCTCCCCCTCCCTCAGCAGGGACCCTAGCCCCAAACTCTAGGCTTGTGGTATGCTAGGTAATGCAGATGTGTGTCTCCTGTTTCCCTGGGACAGGCAGACACAGTGAACACTTAGGGCTGTTTGGAGCTAATCAGTAGGTCAGCTGGTAAACTGTTCAAGAAGAGTTTGAAGTAATGGAGAGAGCCTTTTGTTTTGCTGGTCAAGTGATAAACACTGTTATCACCCCCCTGCTGGCTTGCTTACCTGTCAGCTTTCTGTAGACAGTATAAAGAAGCGGGGAGGGAAATTGAAAAGCTCCACACCATCAGCAGATGCATGCAGTGCACCTCCTCCCCTCCATTTCCTCAGAGTGCTAGCAGGGGTCTGGTGTCTGGCAACACTCCCACCCCTTGAGCAGCGAGCGGGGAAAAGCCTGGGATGGTGCAGGCAGACCTCCCTAATCAGAATGTTCTGCTGGGGCCTGGCCACGCCCTCCTCAGCTCAGCACTGTATAAGGGAAGGGAAAGCTGCTCTAGTGCCCTTCGGGCTTCTAGCCTGAGCCACTGCAGGCATGTATCTGAATTTCCTCAGTCCAGAGAGAATGTCTGTCCAGTTACAAACCAGTTCAGCCTAGCCAGGTTAGACTAACCTGCAAAGATTTAATCAATTCAGGCTCAGGCTTTTTGAATGTCTGTTCCTCGCCCTAGTGCTTGTGTGTTATGCTGCTACCTAGTGCTTTTCATCTGACACATGGGTGCATTCTGGCTTCTTTTGATAATGTCTTTCTCTAGCCCTCCCTGTTCACCATATTGAATAATGCTGCAGTGTAAAAGAAACAGATGACTTCTCCTGTTTTAATAGTCATTCTTTTCTAATATATATTTAAACAGAAGCTTTCCATAAAGCTTTCCATAGGGCCCTGCTACAGGTTCAAATTACATCTGGATAGAAGCCAGTTATAGAGTTATTACACATTTTGAGAAAGCCAGTCTTTTTACTAACATATCCCAATCCATGTATACATACACACATACAGACACACTGTAGACAAAACCCAACATTACAAACCAAAAGGAGAAGAAAATTTTCTGGAAATGTTCTAGGTTTCAGGACGCTGCTTGAAGCAAAAACAACAGATTGATAGCAATCTTGGAAATAATAGCTAAAATTAAATACATTAAAAATATACATATTCAATTCTTGGGTGTTGGGTGGGGAGAAGGGGAAGCAATACCTCCCAGATCTCAAGGGTATGCCTAGGGCTACTGGGTAATCTAGGGTGTCTAAGGGACTCTCAATCTCTCCTGTGGATGCTGTTCTAATCTGAATAAATAAATAGTCACTGGCGCAGAAGATGAACCAAAGAATGCTACCTCACACGTGAGTTTCTAATCACCAGCCTACAAAAGCAGTCTCTTTCTGCCTCCATAACTATTTATCAAACTGTATATTAAATAATACAAAATAGCTGCAACAGAAAAGTTTTAGTAAGTTTCTGTCCCTCACTGCAACCAGAATTCATATGGTAATTAGGACACCTGCCTGACAGGTGGGAAACCTTATTCAAATTCAAGTTTTGAATCAAGCAGAATGTGGATATAAAATACTTTAATATACCTTGAGCCAACAAGTGAGAACAACACTTTCTGGTGATCAGAACAGGTAGCACCAGACTGTGGAAGCCTTGTTTCCAGTCCCCACTCCATTTAATTTATTTATATAAAATCAAGCCTCATCACAAGAGGCTTTTTTGGCCTAATATTTCAAAACACCCAACGGCCTGTTGGTTACAGTAATCTTCTACTAGGTGAGTCATGTTCAGATTTCCACAGACCTAGGTCTTTTTTTGCTTTTTCAGTTACCAGTTTTTACATAAAATCACAGGGTCATACTTGATTTAGGTTAAATTTCACATTGCTCTGCAATAAACAGAAATGTATAACTTCATTTCATAATCAGAAGTGACATTTGGTCCACTTCACAAAATGAGCTTAACACCTAGAGAACTTTCTCAGGCCTATGGAATCATTTCCCAAATAAGTCCTGGCCTACATCATTTGCTGTAAGCAAATTTCCACCAATAAAACATCAACTAGTTTCACTTTAAGAAGGGGGTAGAGGGGTAGATCAAGGCCCCCATGGTGAGGGAGGGCAGGGGCTGAAGCAAGTGCTGATCAGCCAGGGTGGGGTGCACGGCATGGGGCCAAAGCTCATTTGGAGGATGCAGGGAGAGGGAGGGGCACAGCTCCTGCCGCCATGCACCGCTTTGCCGGAAGCCACTGGTCCAGTGGCTCGTTCAGTACTCGCCTGCTCTTTTAGTGGCTCTTGCTGCTGCTCCCACCACTCGCCTGGGAAGGTGGGAGGAGGGGGCATGTGCCCCCAGATCTGTATGGGGTGGGTCAGGGAAGCTGGGGCCAGGGCTGTGCCAAGGTCTTCCCAACAGGGCGGGGCTGAACTGGGAAGGGGCTATTTGGGGGTGGGGGGGCTAAGGCCACAAATTCTTCATAGCCCCTTCCCAGCGCAGCCCCACCCTGCCAGAAAGAGCTTGGTGCAGCCCTGGCCCCAGCCTGCCCCACCTCGCCCCACCCCACACAGATCTGGGGGCACCCCCCCATGCCCTCCCAGATGAACAGCGGGAGCTGTGGCAGGAGCCCCCAGATGAGCAGGCGAGTGCTGGACGAGCCATTGGACTACTGGTTCCCAGACTAGCAGCATGCAGCAGCAGGAGCCACCCCCCGTGCCCCTGGATGAGCCATGGCCCAGTCCCCTTACCCCAGCCCCACACCCTCCCATTCTGTGGGGGCCTTGATCTGTCCCCCAGCCCCTTCCCTTCCATTCCCTTCCCCCTCCCCTTCCACCACTATGGGCTTACCAGCTGGAGGCTGTGCTGTGGCTGCACACATGCACAGGCCATTTATTGGCCAAAGTATTCTGATATAGGACATTTTCTTTATATCGGTGCCATTCTGATATCGGACCGATGTATCAGTGCACCTCTAGCTTCCACAAGTAAGGAGGAGCAAGTGGCAAGTTGATGCATTGTGATCAAGGTATTCCTCAGAGCTTCTAGGCTCAGATGATTGCCTTATATTTGATTAAGACCAGTGGTTTAGGCTCTGCTTCTCTGTTCTTATTCCTAGATATAACATACAGATTAATGATTTCACTTACTGCTACCAAATTATATCTATCAAGGTTCTATAGCACTTCTACATTATCAATCTCTTATCCTTGTCTTCCAGCTCCGTTGGCTACATTTATATGATTATTGTAAACAACTTTTTTTGGTGAAAAGCTAAGTTGAACTTTTTCAGCACGAGATAGCTTATACATCTTAAGTGATGATGACAAAGAAAAGCTTATCTGCAAGCAGAGCTCCATTGATTCTCTTTCTGTGCCAAATGATTACAGCATTGGAAGTACCTCTTGATTGTAAGTATTAACTTGTTAAATATGTGTGTTTAAATGTGATAAGTATATATTTATACCAGAAGATATTTACAAGACCTCAAGTTAAAACCTATACATGTATTAATTCATGAAGCATCTGTATAGCAATATATTTGATCATAAGGTACTTGCTATCAATTTTTTGTGTTTTTAAAGAACTTTACAAATATAATGGCCTCTACAATTAGCCCAAGTCTAACTAACTAAGGATTTCTGTAATTATGACTAATATTCCAATTTATTTATTTAAATGGGCAGAGGGCAAGGTTAGGAGGGATCAGTAGAAACAGTTACACTTTGGTGGACAGAGGAGTCCACACTCCAGAGCCTGACATGCATCCCGGTTTCCTGAGGCTTAGCATTTCTCATCAAAATTCTATAAAACCCAGTGGCAAAGTTTTCCATGCCCAGTAAGTGGTAGTCACACAGAAGATGACAACATACTACCATCACTTTCTCCATTAGCTGAAATGGCCCAGGTTTGTGTGGTGGATATAATGGCTGCAACCCTGCTGATAGCCCTTGTGGGTATCAGTATGATGTCACATGATGGGATTTCTCACTTACTTTTTTTAGTTTGCTTAAAAAAAATGAAGAAATTGCATGCAAAGCCCTTCTTTTTAAGGAGAAATAAAGACTGTTGGGAGCAAGGACTGGAGTCCAGGTGAATGCCTACAAAGTCATTCTTATTCTTCTGATCTATCTTTGTAAATCTCGACTTCTTTTCTGTGCAGTTGCACAGCTTTAAGTGCAGTGGCATAGATCCCCAGAGTAGCCAATAGCCTGCTGGTTGGGCCACTCCCCTGGGGAGCGAGAAAAGAAGATGGGCTTAAAGGCTGCCAGGCAATAGAAGAAACTGAATCTGGTTTGCCCACTGCCTGTGTAAGTACGATGCAAATGAAGTTATTGAATGAAAAGGGGACATTCCTTCTTTTTCCAGTCAGGAAAAGAAACTCTGGCTGCAATTGCATTTTTTTGAAGGGAGTCTGATCTAACCTGTATGTGCTAGACGTGCTTAAAACAAGCCTATTGCTTTGAGTCCCCCAAGGGATCTTAGGCAGAGGAACACCAATGATAGAATTTTCTTACCCACTCCATGTGTGTGTAAATGCTGGTTTTCTAATCATGCAAGTGGCCTTTCGGTGGTTATGCATAGGTTATGATTACATAACCCCTGCACTGTGGCTGTGTAAAAGAGTGTGTGTGCATATAGACTGAGCTGTTTCTGAAGGATGGCTATGCACTGCCTGTACAGGCATGTGGCTACACCTGGATACCAGTGGTGGGTGCATCAGTGCGTGTAATTTGTGACAGTGTAGCTGGAGAAAAGCCCATGACTAATAGGGGAAAAGGCGGGGAGGGAAGGGAGAAGAGGTCCTTTCCATGTTTCCAGATCCCAGTCAGACTTAGGCCTGAGTAGAAGCTGAGCTGCTCAGCCCTGGTAAGAATAATTAAGCTATGAGTGTGTGAAGAGGTGAAGTCTAGGCACCTGAGGAACTTTAAAATAAAAAATTAGGCAGCCATCTGGTGAAGTGGCAGCTCTGAGAGGTTTTTCAGGATTGGTAGTTGTGGTAAATGGGCCGAGCTGCCAATCACCAGGGCAGCTCAGGTGCGGGTTGCTGGAGCAA